ATATATATATATATATTTTACATATATAAAATATATAATTTAATATATTATACATTATTAAATTATATAATATATAAAATATATAAATAATATACATAATATAAATAAATATTTAATAAACAAATATATTTATGTATACTATCATTCTGAGTAATATTTGAGTAATATCTACTACTCAAACAAATTAATTATTTAATACTATTTATTAACCATATATGAATAAATCTACAAATGTAATTTAAAAAATGATGCTATATTGGCATCGATTTATATGAAATTCCCACATCATGAATTTTGTGCAACATAGGTTAAATACTAAATAAAATTGATATTGACAATAATATGCATTATTTTCAGAGTATAAGAACTTGAAGAAACAGTATTATTCTGCTTTCACATTTTATACTCCAGTTCAGCAAATGTATTGCCCTGCAATATTCCATGAAATCAGTGTCCAAACACGAGTTAAAAATATGTTGCAAAGTGGGGTTTTAGTTTGGTCATCAAACTATGAGGAAGATCAGTTCGAAGATCCCTAAACCAGACAACAGAAATAGTATCTGATAAAAGTACAAATAATAATTCCAAGAATTTTTATAATTCCTAGTTATTTTTAAGATAATTTTAGAAATCATCTATTTTGATAGAACGTAATACTTTTGAGAATTACGTATACCCTGTGATAAGTACTAATGTTAAATATTCAATAGTTTATTTTTATAGACAAAAAAGTTAAATAATTGTTCCTTTGACTACTCTTTTTTTACTGCTTATGTTACAGGATTTAATTAATTATATAATTTAATTTCAATATAATTACATGTAGCTGCGAGTAAGATTTCTAGACTAAATGACAATCCATTGAAAAGAAAATTACATTTATATATAATTTTCAGGAATTGTTTATGTATATGCTTAGTTAATAAACAAATATTTTGATTAATTGGAACATAAAATTATTTGAATACACAATTATTCACAGGAAAGCAAAAGAAATAGCAAGATTTCTGCAGTGAACAAACTATTATCAAATTTATATCTCTATTTTCAATTGTTAATCGATATTTTATATTCAAATATTTGTGATATTATTGTAATCAGTGTACCATAATTCAAATAAACAAAGATGTATAGATAGTAGTTATCTATTGACTTTTTATGTAACAATCTATTAACGCTATGTATCCAATTCTTTAATCAAAAATGAAATAGTTATAAATGAAATTTAAATATTTGTACTACATAAGAAACAAAATCAATTAATAATCTAATTTTGTTGATTATTAATTCTAAATTATGAAATACATTGATTACATTATGCAGTTTGTAAATTCACAATATATTTTTCAAGCGTAATAAGATATATATTTTGTCATATACTGATATATGCATTCTAGAGATTAATTATGAAATGTTTACTTTCACTGTAAATAATTGTGATATGAGTAATCTAGCATGATACTTACTTTCATTATCACATGGCTGGAAAATTATAAATAATATACTTTATAACAGATTTTTTTATAATAAAAAATGTTTCTACAAAGAAGATAAGATAAAATATATTGTAAAGTAAAAGGTCATAAATGTCATCACTATGACCATTAAATTTGTTAGTACATGTACAGAAAATGAAATTGCCTAATGTTAAAAATAAAATAGCTATAAATTATTTACTAAAATAAAATTTATTCACAAAAATCAAAATTTGTTAAAAATATATGAAATAGATATATCACTTACCTATATATTCTATTTGAGCTATATTAAACGATTTAATAACGAAATCGTCTAATTATTGATACGAATTTTATACGATTTTGAATAAGAACACGAATTACAATTATACATCGCATACTACGCAGAAGGTGAAATTTGATTTATTCTAATGGAATACATTTCTTATCGTATATTAGCCAAATTTAACTTTGTTATTGCTTACCTAGGTCCTAGATGTTCCAAATATTGTGCTAATGCCAACAGTAACCAGAAATTTCACAATTCTTTTACACAAAATTAAATTTTATAACGTAACGAACTCACTGCTAACGGACCGAACACGAAACCGACGCCCAGGATTGCGCGCCAATTCTTATTGCGATTCTCGAAGCATCGATACTCTCAAATTTGAAAGGCGCCAATCGACGTTTGCTTCAAACGTTAAATTCAAATGCTTGTTCCCTAATGCGTTAAATCTAACATGCTAATATGTATTTAATGTATAAAAAACGATACGTATTAAATTTTTTTAACATGAGGAAATAGAGATAACATCTAAAAAATTTATTAATAATTATTATGTATGCTGTATATAGTCCAATCTCCATAATACTTTTAAGGTTATAGTGCATTTTTGCTTTCATTGATTACGTTTGAATATCAATATTTTGATTACGTTTATCTAAAAACGACTTACTATTTTTAAGTAATAATTAAGTTTAGTATTTAAACTTAATTAATTAAACTTATTTAATAAATAATAATTTATTAATAAACTTGATTAATAAATTAATCAAATAGAAAATCGAGTAATAATTTATTTACACGTCTCTTTGAAACATACATTTGCATGTTGCTCTGCTTTTCGCAGTTCCTCCTTCCTCCTTCTTTTCTCTTCCTTCTTTCTCTTCGCTTTCCACCTATGTGATGCTCTCTTTTCATTTGCCTTCTCGCGTAGTACTTTATCTGCGTACACGCAAGTTACTCACATATACTCAACGAAATATCGCGACTGATATAAAAATTTACATATACAGATCGTATCACGAATACCTCTAGAATTCAAGGTACATCTACAACATGCACATTGATCCTTTGGAAGTATTTGCGACATCCTTTCTTGTTTCTTTATGGCAATTTTCTCCAAGCATTTCCTTCGTTCAGGAAAAGCACCATTATATTTCGAATAATTCCATAACAAGATGCATCACGTTATTTTAAGCAAAATTGAATGAAATGATCAGCGTAAACGATCGTGATGCATCCTGCTAATCTCTAAATTCTGTCGTACCAGGATTCCTCCTTTTTACGCACTTCCTATCCAGATTTTCCTGATCTTTTTCGTGCTTTTTGCTCAGAAAGTTCCTCTGCAGGAAACTGAATCGTTGCTTCTTCGTTTCTTTTTTCCTCGGCTTGCGCACAGTCAGATCTCTGATACAATCGTCGGTACCTGTTCGATAATCGCAATATGTTCGATCGTTTCGACTACACATTGGACATTTTCCCGTGCAACCATTCTCTATATCCGAACAAGAGCAAATAGGATCGTCGTTCCATTCCAAGCAATCGGTAAAGGTATCTTTATCCTGTTTACTTTCGCCCCTGGCATACCTGAATTCGAAATGAACGAATGAAAGTAATTACTCTATGTCGAAGTCAACTCGTTATCATACGTTGAATTAATTCGTAGCATTTTTAAACTTATTTCCGTGTGCAAAATGGTCGGCGTGGACTAAACTACTTTCTTTAATTACTCTGTACATAGAAATCGTAAAAAGAGTTGTAAAGAAATTTGAAAAATAAACGAAATAAATTATGGAAGTTGTAATTATGTCGTGGCAATATTGACTCGACGATAAAAGAATTATGTTGACAATTGAACATTACGATTAGTTTCTCTACGATAATTACTTGAATCGCGTACCACGTGGCTTCGATCGGTTTCGCTTGTAAAGCAAGTAGACAGCGACAAGGCAGACGATAATAAAGAATAGAATGAACAAGATCGAACAATAGATTGATCTGTGCTTTAATAAACTTGATTAATAAATTAATCAAATAGAAAATCGAGTAATAATTTATTTACACGTCTCTTTGAAACATACATTTGCATGTTGCTCTGCTTTTCGCAGTTCCTCCTTCCTCCTTCTTTTCTCTTCCTTCTTTCTCTTCGCTTTCCACCTATGTGATGCTCTCTTTTCATTTGCCTTCTCGCGTAGTACTTTATCTGCGTACACGCAAGTTACTCACATATACTCAACGAAATATCGCGACTGATATAAAAATTTACATATACAGATCGTATCACGAATACCTCTAGAATTCAAGGTACATCTACAACATGCACATTGATCCTTTGGAAGTATTTGCGACATCCTTTCTTGTTTCTTTATGGCAATTTTCTCCAAGCATTTCCTTCGTTCAGGAAAAGCACCATTATATTTCGAATAATTCCATAACAAGATGCATCACGTTATTTTAAGCAAAATTGAATGAAATGATCAGCGTAAACGATCGTGATGCATCCTGCTAATCTCTAAATTCTGTCGTACCAGGATTCCTCCTTTTTACGCACTTCCTATCCAGATTTTCCTGATCTTTTTCGTGCTTTTTGCTCAGAAAGTTCCTCTGCAGGAAACTGAATCGTTGCTTCTTCGTTTCTTTTTTCCTCGGCTTGCGCACAGTCAGATCTCTGATACAATCGTCGGTACCTGTTCGATAATCGCAATATGTTCGATCGTTTCGACTACACATTGGACATTTTCCCGTGCAACCATTCTCTATATCCGAACAAGAGCAAATAGGATCGTCGTTCCATTCCAAGCAATCGGTAAAGGTATCTTTATCCTGTTTACTTTCGCCCCTGGCATACCTGAATTCGAAATGAACGAACGAAAGTAATTACTCTATGTCGAAGTCAACTCGTTATCATACGTTGAATTAATTCGTAGCATTTTTAAACTTATTTCCGTGTGCAAAATGGTCGGCGTGGACTAAACTACTTTCTTTAATTACTCTGTACATAGAAATCGTAAAAAGAGTTGTAAAGAAATTTGAAAAATAAACGAAATAAATTATGGAAGTTGTAATTATGTCGTGGCAATATTGACTCGACGATAAAAGAATTATGTTGACAATTGAACATTACGATTAGTTTCTCTACGATAATTACTTGAATCGCGTACCACGTGGCTTCGATCGGTTTCGCTTGTAAAGCAAGTAGACAGCGACAAGGCAGACGATAATAAAGAATAGAATGAACAAGATCGAACAATAGATTGATCTGTGCACGATGGAATTTGTCTTCTTTGAATGTCGATTTTCCTTCTTTTTTAACTCGTGGTTCTCACTGAAGTAGACGAAGATGGTGAATTTAAACGACACGTACCAGTTAATAATTTTCTAATTGTCAAATAATTAGTAAAATATCAATTATACAAATATTGTCACTAGCAAGTTATTTATCGATTTGGAGGAAAAATTTTAATATAGATTAAGCCACTACTCTTAGTAATTTTAAGTAATTATAAGAATACAATGGAAATGAAAGTTCTTACATTGCAGAATGTGCCGCTGCTGCAACAATTGCCTTCTGAACTTCGCTATTACGTCCTTTAGAATCTTTATGATGCCTTTTTTCCTTTTTCTTTCTCTTTTTCTTTTTCTTTTTCTTTTTCTTCCCATGAGTACGTGAATGTTTATCGTCTTCCGAGGTATGCCTTCTGAATATTCTGTGTCCTGGAAATTCTAACGTATCTGCTGTATCGTAACCCTCTGTGTCAAGGAATTTAATCGATCTGCGATTTTCTCTCACATACTTTGCCAGATCGGGTCGTCCCAACCATCTTAACGTCATCTCCATAGTTGATCGTCCATTGGGTTTCATATTTGCTATCAAAAAAATCATATTTCTCTTTATTCGTGTTCCAATTAATTCTATTTGTTAACCTTTACTTGGAAAATCATTCTTCCATTGCTCAAGATTAAATAAACACTCCGACGTGGGTGTCATTCGGTTTAGATATTTATTCGTAATCTCGTGTTTTCCCAATTTATGTTCTCTCATCGGAGTTACTTTGTACACAGCTTGTACAAGCTGCAAACATTCCACTGCATTTAATTTCTCCGATAAATGCACCAGCTCGTTCTCCTCTATATTGGCGATACATTGAACGAAAAATTTTTCCTTGAAGAATAAAAATACACTACTTTTATCGTTTCATTTTAAATGTTACTCGTTTCTATAAATATTTAAATTAAGTTATTATTGCGATATTTATCCCCGTTTTCTTTTCTCCTTGGCTATAAGATATTGCAATTTAAAATATTGTTGCTATATTTATTCGTCTATAATAAATAACGACAAACGTTTGTATGGAAAGAGAATCTATAGAATAGTGTTTAAAGAATTGGAGATTGAGTTTCTGGGTAATGAAAATTCCATCAACAGACACATGACTCAAAGTGAAAGAAAAACGTGACATTGTGCAGTGAGAAAAATCATTCGATTATCTTCACACCGTTTTATCAGTTATGACGTCATCGATGCGTTCTATCGATACGATATTGCGAATTTGATTAAATCTTCTGAAACACGATTGATAACCATGAATTCCTTGCAAATGCTCACCTTGTTTTTCGCGAAAACCACGATCAAAATGTAAATCGGGCATACAAATTTCATCCTAAAATGAACACGATCCTACGATCGTAAAATTCAATCGATGAACTACATATCGCTGTCAAATGAGAAGATACTTATTTTTGACAGATCCATAATCGACAGTCGTTTTGATATCATCGATTATCAAGCGACTGTGACATCTTCCGTTCTAAACATTACGTTCTAATCGATCGAATTTTCGAAATTCGATTCGAAAACTGACCCCTTTTACGAATTGTTCATCAATTTGCGAGCTATATTCACGTTATACGACTGATCTTTCGCGAAACGTATTAGATTGAAACCTGAAGTTAGACATGGTCTCTCGTTGAAAGTATTTTAGGATATTCCGTTCCTTCTCTGTCATTATTCGTGTAAAATTAATGAACTGAAGGAGATTCTGTATTATTTTTTTAACAAATTAAGTTGTCAGTTATGTTGAACGATCTGTTGAACGAAATTTCACATTTGAGGTTTGATTTTGTTTATTATTTCGTTAATTCTTCGTCCCATGAGGTTACCATTTATGATACCTTTCGTTACCTTAATAGTTGTATTATTTATTACAGAATATCGAGAAGATTCGAGTTAAACATGAAAATCATACGATCGGTATTACTTTTTCGAAGACTCCAATGAATTAGGTTGTAATTAAAAATCATTGAAGCATGTAATCGAACTCTGTCGATCCGTTGAAACCCTCGATGAACTTAAGAAGCGTATTAAAAAAGGCACTGTTTCTTCTTTTGCTCTATCTTGCACCTTCTTTCTATCAGGTAAACTTCATTTCAGATAAATCAACCGAACTAATTAATTACAATTATCAAAATATTAATCCATATGCTATTAATTAATGATAACTTAAAATTAAATAATGATAGATTAAATTGAATTAATAATTCCTTTATCGTAGAATAAATATTACAATGAAGAATAACAGCAATCGTTTACACCATGTAATCTGTCTTTTTCTAAATTTTCTTATTATCTGTATTCTGATAAAGACTTCTTTTATGAAGAATCACAACTAGATTATAACATTACTGAATCATCCTAAGCAAATAATGGAGATTCAGCTTACACAGGAAAAGATGAAATGAAATTGTCGAAAACTATAATGCATTGTTCCATATTTTTCGAAGATCATTGCCGAGGTTGACGTACCAGAACTCCAATTGTTAGCGTCGAATTTGAAGCCCGAAGAGTGTGTGAAGCTTGTTTTCCTAGATTCCCAGAGTAAGTAATTCTAATTTATAAATTAAAATTATATTATTTATATGACAATACAAACACAATAATAATAACATAGTAAATGTAAATATGTACCATGTCAAATTGTGTAAAATTATGGACGCGGGAAAGTCTGCAGAATATATTATCTAGGAATTAAAAATTATCTAAGCATAGGAAACATCGATCACTTCAGAAACCTAAGAAGGAGATCCAAGGAAAAATATTCTCGATTCACAGTGATATAAAATATTTCCAACATTGTTACGATAGTACAATCACAAAGATTATAATAGACTATTATAACACAATAACAGCTCCACTATCGAAAGCGCAAATACAAAAGTTAGCTCGAGAGCAAAGCTGTTTCCGAAGACTCGTGAAATGGATTTGCCAATTAAGAACCGTCACGAGGAACACGTATCCGATCTTGAACAATCTTCTTGAACGCATTGGAAGAAAAGATTTGATCGCGTGCCTTGCAGAGTTCGGTACAAAATCCTCGAAGTCGCCAAAAGTAATTCGCGACGTTCAAGCGGCTGAGGATTCAGAGTAAGTTGTCATTTTACGAAATACATTTTCAAAGTATAATTCATGAATTAGGAAACTCATGGAATATATTTTGAAAAATATATATAGAACATAAAATCTTAGGAAAACCTCTAAGAATGTAATTTGCATTAAGAAGTAGCCATGTTAAGTATAAAATAACTGAGTAACTCTGTCAACAAAAATAATTCGTACGTAATTAAAAAATATAAATGCTACGATATTCCTAGAATATAAATTCACGAGTTTATATGGAAATAATGACTTACGAAATAAAATATAATCGACACCTATGAAGTTTTGTTATTGGAAGATTTATCGAATACGAAAATTAAAATTATAAATTTTTTAAATTAATTAATTCCGTGGAATTATGTGAATTTGTAATAAATATAGACGACTGCACGATAGTAAAGCCATGCAATTAAATTCTCGCCATAGAACCTCATTTCGCCTTTCCACCCACTATACGCTTACGCTATTTTGGGGTATTTACCAAATATAATTATGACGCACGTGGCAAAATTATGACAGAAAATACACGTCCTTACGACACTATTCGCAACACTGTAATTAATAGACGCAAATTTTGCCACACTGTTTCTTTCATTTCGTAATAACTTTATAATTATCTAGCGACTACGAAGGAGTCGTGGCGACGGCGCCTCCGAAACCGGAAGAGAAAGATAGTAAAACGTACAGTAAAACGCAAAATCAATCCTCGGACAAAGTGATCGAGAAAATCAGTGTAATAAATTTCTTGTGTTACCTGTAACGATTCTCTTTTAACCTTAAATATAAATCTCGTTATTCTTCATTCTTAGGACACACTGCTGTCAACGTATCGGTGCAAACCGCAGGGATCGTTATCGTTTTGGTCATACTTTTAACTTGTTGCTGTACTCTGTTTATAAGGAGCAAAATGGCGAATCTGTTGAACAGAATACGAGGGAAGAAAAAGAAAGGGTGACTATGACGTGTTTCGATTTATATTTCGAATCGAATCACTGTGATCTCTATTCAATGCCTGTCTTTGAACTGAGGAATTAATCAGAAAAAGGGTGAATGAAAAGATAATAAATATAAAATAAAATGAAAAAGACTTATAATAATGATAGCATAGAAAGGAATGAAAGTGAAGACGAAAAGTGAAGAAAATTTGTTAATAAAAATAAAAATAGTTCTTTCCTTTAATTTTTAGCATTTACCCCTTTTTCATGTTACAATATCTATTCAAAGATACATTACACACAGAGGAGACCTGTATGATAAAATCTTTTTTACTTTTTAGTAGTAAATTCGTAATATTTTTTGAACAGTAAATTAATCGCAATCGGAGAAGAAGGAGATGACGTATCTAAGAGCTACCTCATTCGAAAGCCACGAGTGAAAAGAAAAAGGGCACCATCGTACGAAATGGTGCACACAGCCACGCAAAACACAGTGGTTCCAGTGCCGAAGGAACCGGAAGAACCGCCAGTCACAGGTTGCTACAAATGTTACAAGAAGAAACGGAAGAAACGCGCCAAACAACCACACAGATGAAGCAGCATGTAATCAAATGCAATTTTAAGGAAAGTTTGAGGAATCGAAAGCAACATTGAAACGTGTGAAGTTCTCGTTAAACATTCACACGTGTAATATTCGTTAGCAGCGGCCTCACGTGTATCTATATAAAGCCATGTATTTGGCGCTCGACCAAATAATTTATATAAATACAATTGCCAATTTAACAATGTAAACAAATGTCCCTTGCTTACTGGTTCTAATCCAAGAAATTTTCGAAGCAGACATGCGAGAAGCGACAATTTTCTCTGTGACTTACATTACTATTATTATTATTATTTTGAATGATATAGACGTACCATTTGTGGAAACTCGAAGGATTTCTGTGTCACTCATTCATACACGACTTAAAAGAATATATATATATATGCATAATAATGAAGAATATATGAAGGTAGCCTGAAATATATAGAAAATCAAAAAATTGTGAAATAAACCATATTTGAAGTATAGTTATTGGAGAAGATTAATACAAATTGTACATCCTCGGTCGAATTTGTATCAGATTTAACCTCTATATCAATAATCAGATTCACGAGTAGTCTTTTACACATTCTCACTTAAAATATTGCAGCTTCTTGGCAAAAGATTTGAATATCCAGCCAGATTGCGTTATTTCCTACATTTTCTGTGTTTGTTTCACATTTAGTGTTCCGTTGTCAAGAAGCTGCTAAAATTAAACCATAAAATAGATGATAGATTTATCCAATAACTGGTACAAAGTACCTAACAGAAATACTCCTACAGGTAGATAAAATAATTATACGAATTTCTGACGAATAATGGGAATAATTAGTACAACGAGGAATATGAAATAAATAAAAATGCGAATAAAAATATTTACATGTGTAATAATAATTTTTATAGTATACATTTTTTACATTTCACATAAATCTTTGCATGTTCAATATATACCAATTTTCTACATACAATTAGACGTCATTGACTGTAAGTAAAGTAATCAAGAACTCGTCATTATCCAAAACGCACTCAGGTACCCTGAACACACACCTGTATATATAATATAGTACAATAACTGAACAATTTCTGCTATTGACATTAAGAAGTCAGTCGTGAAATTCGCTGAAATTGATTACGTCTTGTATGAAATTCGTCGATGTTGATTTCTCGCGAAACAAAACAAAGGATTTATTTTCATCATCGACTCGTCCCGTTTCATTAATCTCGCAATGAAGGAGTTATCAAGGACTCGCGAATGGTCGACGCGATTAAGCTTTATCGTTATTCTATTGCAGCACGATGTCCTCGGCACGATCGACGTTAATTTAAATGAGCTGGAATATTTAGCCGCTCGTCTGAATCCTTTCGAGTGTCGACGATTGATAGTTGCACTTCATTACACCACTTACGAGCTGCCAGACACTCTGGCAGATGCTGGTAAATCGATCACTAATTAAATAAGATACATCAACAGCGATATCTGCTCTTCTCGTTGGAAGAAGTATTGCCTGCTCGTAAAATCAGTTGGAAATTGAAGTAAATTCACCTCGAGTATTTGCACAGATCGATAAAGATATCGAGAATACTTGGAGTTTGATTGATATACATATTTATATTGATTATTATTCTATATTATTCTATTTAATATTATTCTAGCTAATATTCTAAATAATATTGTTCTATATTATGATTATTATTCTATATATACTATATACTATTTATATGTTATTCCTTATTGACTTCTTAACTATCTTTCTATGACACCTCGATGAAGTTCAAGTTGCTATGTTCACCATCATTTACAGTAATAATAGCATAGTCTTCTGTTCGCTGTTTGCAATTAGACAGAAAATTAAATAAATCACTTGAAGGATTATAGATTTTTCTGATAATAAAGATGATAATCAGCTAATTTTTTTAACTCCAATTATGACAATGGGCTATATCCTTGGGTCTTAAATAGTGTCAAAAATTGCTGTGAATTTTCTCATCTCGAAAAACAACAATGGGCCATATTCTTGGGTCTTGAGAAGTGTCTTAAGAATTGGTGTGAATTTTCTGGACTCAAAAAATAACAATAAGTCATTTCCTCAATTCTTGAGAATTGCTGACGATATAAAAATTATTCTTATCTTTATTAGAAGATCTGAAAGGACGTATAATTAAAACCCAAGATTTTTAATTTTGCAAGTTTGCAATCTTCCTATAACCTATGCAAACTGGGGAAGTAGTCTTCTCCTAACTGATACAGCGAGCAAATTCTTCCTTAATAAGAAGTATTAATACTAACAGATGTGTCCCTTATTCCTACAATTAAATTGACTCCAACGTCGTTCAGTTGCAGCTGAAAGTTTAACTCACATTAGCAGTGTCAATTACGCATACATATCTCGACATAGCAAACGCTAAAGCACATAACAAAACATCCTCCATTGTCTTATACGTATATATTTAAAGTCTATATATATTTATCAGAAAAAGGTGAATAGACACGAATCTTCTATTTAAAAATAAAAATTATGTCAGTTAATCGAGTGCTAGAAGAATCGATATTGAAAAATTAAAACAATGATGCCTTGAAAATACAAATACGCGGAATGCAACGTTTTTCCTTAGAATTACAGAACTAAAGGTATCTCGGTGATTAACACTCTGTTGCATCGTGATCAACGTTACATTTAAAACGATCCTCTGGTATTGTTTCTAACTGAGAATTCAATTTACGACCATAATATGTTTCCTTCGATAGAAACAATAATTTTTCTTTAATCCCTGATAACGTAAATGACCTCCCGAGCAAGAACGTAACGTGGATGACGAGATCCCTTGCATTCGACACCTTTTGCACTGGAACAGCTCTCCAGCCGAAGGCAAAGGCAATACTCACGAGGTTTTGGCCCACAGGCTTCGACAAATAAATCGAAATGACCTGGCAGACTGGCTAGGTGGAAAGAACTCGACAGGGCAGTGGTGAAAGCGTTTGATGAACTCCATAAACAGGAAACGGAGTTGCCGTAAGTTTCGTGAAATCTTATCAGGATGATACCACAATCTCGATGAAATTCATAGATAACAGTGTAGGTGACGCATAAATCCTTTGTTTCTCGATATTCTATTATCAGCGAAATTCCTTTCGACATTGTGAAAATTCGCTTTGAATTTCACAAAATAAGGAAATAAAGTTTCTATACATTATTTCGAGGAGTAAAATTGAAAAAGGTGTTCGATATAATTTCAATATAATTTAAATATAATTTTTTCTCCTTTTTTTTGTATTTTGGTTTGCAAGTTTTGTATTTTCTTTCGCATAGATTTTTCATTTTTCCAAGCATTTCTTCAAACGTTTAAAATTTTTTAAAATAATCTATACGTTTCGTGATAGCGTTATTAAAATTATTTCAAATCTAGAATTTTGCAACAAAGTATAACATTGCTTTAAATGTTTTACATTTCGATTTCACGATCTTAAATTTCTATTCTATTCACAGTTATCCAATAACTCTCGAACCAAGCAGACGTCACGAAGAAAATCCTTGGCTCGAAGTGGACGTGGTTCTTATGGCTGTTTTACTAGGATTATTAGGAACTTTGCTATCGCTCATATGTATCACGATCTGGCAAAAGATCAAACTACATTTTCGTAAAATCAAATACAAGTACTAAAATTTGTCCATCGTTACTTTCATTACTTACCTTTCCTCGACTTCGTTATGATGACCGAAAATTATTATTGACAAATATTTGCGATGAAATCGTAGAAAACAGAAGCAACAGAAGGAACAAAACGGTGAAGATGTAAAACCGGAAGTGAGACAAGAAACGAAGAATAAACATACCATTAAAATCAGTTCAGCTCCCGATTATGTACACCTTGATAGCGATACTGACATGGATACCGATTAAGAAACGATTATTTGTATCTGTAATCTCGAGAAGAGAAATATCTCAGATGCTTTAAATATTTTTGAAAGAATCCATCTTTTCGTTCTAAGCTTCTATTTTCACAGAAAATATCGAATTTGCAGAATCCCATATTAACTCTATTATCACTTTTCCGAATTCTTAAACGTTATGGTAATACCTAACGACGAGGCAATGGATAGTACAAACGTAAAACGTTTTACTCGGAAAATAATTTCTTGTATGTACTTCTATAACTAGATTCGTTACGTGTTAACAAAAATGATAAATAAGTTGGAAAAAGGCAATCGTTTGTTTGTATAATACTTTCAATTATCTTATTAATTAGTATCGATTATTGTGAAACAATGAGTTATATAATAAAAGAAAGATTAAAATCATCTTATTATTCGAAATATTTAATATCTACTGACCAAAACCAATCAAGATTAACATACTTCACATTTAAGTTATATACACCAGGGTCTCTTCTTACAAGATCCTTGTCTTCATACGTTTCGTCCACTTTTACGCGTATTTGTAACACATTTTATTCATAGTTGCTCAATTTTTATGCACATTTTCCTGTCTCTTCATCCATCATTCATTTTCCTCCATCTTCAACATCAGGAAAACAGCAAATGTTCAAAACTTATTACTGCTCCACAGTTTGGACTCCGTATCATCGTAATCTTTGTCACATCCTTGAAAATGTCCAACACAATTTTGAATTTTTATTAATGTTAACCATTTCTGCCAATCCTTAAATTCCTTCTGTTCACTCACTCATTTTAAGCATAGTATATGATATGTTTTATTGTCCAACAATAACTCTAGATGACTCTATTTATTTATTTATCTTAACGGGTAATGACCCTTTGGTAACAAGAAAAATAATATAGTACAGAGTCATCTAGAGTTATTGTTGGCGAATAAAAGATACAATTTATTTATTTATTTATTTATCTTAACGGGTAATAACCCTTTGGTAACAAGAAAAATAATATAGTACAAATAAATAAATAAATAAAAATGTTGCTCTCGAATGCAATCCTGTATTTTGAATTGTTTCTTTTCATTGTTTGCTCGAGTTTAACACGAGTTTTGTACTTAATTGC